GATGTCTTTAACATTTATGCCTAAAAAAAAAAAAAAAAGTGTCAAAAAGGATGGTTTTTCTCCTGACACTGCTATTATTTTAACTACCTTCACTCTTTGACAATGTTTATTGTTTTAAAAAGCAGTAATTAGAATTTTGATAAAACTTAAATATATGATGAAAGTTAATTTAGACTTTTTTGTTAAGGATTTACAAAAATATAAACACTATTTAGATTATTTACTTTACCAATTTATCAAGAATTAAATATGAAAATATTTATTCATAAATTTATAAACATTTACTAAAATATATGAACCAACTATAAGGAAATCCTTATTTACCATTTTATAAAGTTTGAATCAATTGCCTGATGTTTTACCAACTATTCCAATAAACAATGCAATAGTGTTTAATATTTCTGTTGTCAAATCTCAAGAACAAAGAAAATGGATTTACTTTCAAATGTTTAGGTTTTATTAAAATTTTAAACATTTCCAAGGAGCTTTTCTTTTTTAACAGTAAGGTTCATCTTGTACAAGGCTTTTGGGTCCACTCAAGGTAGAGGGTTATGACAAGGGATAGTTTATATGGAGAGGAGGGGAAGATAACCTGTTCAAGTTTAGAGGCAACTGTTAAGATTGTAGTGATCAGGGAAGCTTCCATAGAGCAGTGGTTTGCAAGAAGAAGCTGTTTGAGTGAAACTTACTACTCATCGATGAAATACAGAGGGAATGTGGGTGGTGTGCTACTATGTAAGTGGCATTGCGGGTCCTAGCAGTGAAGGTCTGACCTGGTGGAACCAGGAGATGCAGTTCATCTGAGTAATTTCCATGGGAGTAGCAATAAAACAGAGAGAGGTTGGAAAATAACTCTTCTCCCACAGGGTCATAACTGGAAAGTGTGGTCTGGGCAACAGTACTACATTTTCAGCCTGATCTGGCTCTTATAAAGGTAGAGGATAGCATGAGGAGTCAGGCACTTACTGGAGCAATACAAGGAGCCAGTCATTTTACCTATATCTTTAGTGATGGATTGTATATAAGAATTCCACTTGAGGTTAGGTAATTAAAATAATAGGAGTGTCAAGGGGGGGAAAAAAAAAAAAAACATCCTTTTTGACAGTTTTTTTTTTTTCTTTTTGCAAGCACAAAGGTTAAAGATTTTCATTTTTTTTTTTTAACACTATCATGGAAAAAACTGAAGGATGAGGTGACATGATTAAATTTGAATTTTGTCAGATGATGTCATGAAGTCCCATCATATGTACTCATAAGGTTACAGAATGAAAGTTCAATTAATTATCTATCAGATATCCTCATGGAAGATAGGATATTTTTTAAATCTTGAAATTTCCATTTTGAAAGCATGTTAACAATCAAGGTATACAAACTTTATTTATTTAGTTGCTGCAAAAAATTTATATGATCTCCAGTCTATGACTTTGGGATATTACTTCATTTAGACTGAGATCTCTATCTTTCAACATTTCTGAGATGAGGTGTTGCAACTATTTTACACTCTATTTGGATTGTTGTCCTCATCTTTATAGTCACATTCACAACATTTTGGCTGTTGTATTCTCCAGCCTTCTTCAGGTGATATTTTTTGGAATTTCAAACTGAACCCTATGCTGAAATATGTAGATGACACCTTCATATTCTGGACCATGTGAACTCAATTAGACTATCAATACAGTTCACAAGAGAGAACAAGCTAGCATTCCTAGATGTATTAATAGCTCAAATAAAGCATGGGTTCAAGACATCTGTATAATGTAAGCCAACATTCACTAGACAATACTCCAACTTTGACACCACTACCCATATAGTGTTAAAAATAAAAAGGAATCGTCCACTGCCATATAAGCAATACTCTACAATGTAACAACTACATCATAGAAAACATCAGTGGAAAATACAAAACTTCCCACTGAAATTTTTTTTTCCCTTTGATTTAAATTAAATTTGAACAACGGAATGACTCCTATTCAAAATATAGGAGGAGAAAGCCAGAAGATGGAAGTCACATCGGCAAGATCATTGAGTAATAAATGAAATGAACCATGAACCAAATAACAAAAGATTTAAAATTAATCATTTTCTTACCAAAAAAAAAAGTGTGACACACAGCAAGGCATGGGTAATTTGTTTAGTTATATATAAAAGCTGCCCATGTTACATTCAATTATTTTTTATGCCCAAAGCCTCCATAGAACCAGATGAGAACAGTCTGAACAATGTAAATAGTCTATATATCTATCGTTGTTTAGATCAATACCTTTCTTAACTTCCTAATCATATAACAATTATGGGATACTTTCAACTATTAATGAAAAGCATAACCAAACTAAAAAAAATAAAATTTCTTACATATTCAGAATATATAATTCTTTCAATGGAGATCTAAAATAGGCTAAACAGTTTTATAAAAGCAAATTTATGATTCTTGTACCATAAAACGATTTTTCAGAACAAACTAGCAAACGACTTGGGCATCATTGCAAGAATAAATTGATTCAGATTTGATTTAGAAACAGTTTATTCTTGAGAAAATTTACCTTCCTTTTTATCACCACTCCTAAAAATTTTATTAGAAAATGTAAGGCATAAAAAAGATTTTAGGTTAGTTACATTGTTTTGTTTTTTTTAATTTAAACTGCTGAGATCTTTACAACATTCTTGTAAATAAAACTGCTACCTCTTTGATAAATTGAGCAAAAAAAAAAAAAATATATTAAGTTAGCTTTTTGATATCACAAATTGTAAATATTTAACTTTTCAGTTCCTTCCTAATGTCTGCTGCAACTCAAATCACTAAAATATTTCACAAGTACATAGGTCATCATTTAAAAAAAAATCCTCTCAAACAATTCTGATCTTCATAAAAATCTCAAGAAGTTTTAACTGAGATGCTGCATTGTAACTATTTTCACGGTGAGAACTGAAAATTATAATCAAACCTTATCTTAAAAGAAATATAACTTGACAGTTTCTAAATTTTAACATTTTTCATTTAAGAAAAGTGGGAGACAAGCTAATTTTTAAAAATGTTACATGTTAATTGAAAAGAATGAAGAGGTTAACTCCAAGTTTACATTACATATCAAAAAATTTTCCCCTCTTCATTCCAATAAATTAGACATTTTTCAAATTTATTAACTTGTATATTTAAACCTTACATAATGTAATCCCTTTTGGTTACCATTAGAAATTGCTATATAAGATTACTTATATTTGATTTTGGTAAATAAAATTTATTAAACTATAAATAATAGCACTAATCAGCAACCTTGATACAGGTTTTGTTTTAGTCCTATTATGCAACACATTTTTTTTTTTTAAAGAACTCTAAAATGTGCATAGTGGCAATAAATATTAATATATTTTCTTTAACCAATGATACAAACACAGATCACTTTCATATCTGGATTTAAACCTTTATTAAAGTTTAAAAAAAAAAAAAATGGTGAGGTGTTAGTTACGAGCAGAAAGAAATTTTAAATGATTTTCTCATTGAATTTGTACACATTTTCACTAGCCAAGCATAAAAAACCAAATATTTTTCTTACATCAACAGTCTATAAATAAAACAGTCAAAATATTTAAGTCTGCAAAGAAATAAAGGTTAATTTTGAATAGTGATAAGATTGAAGCCCTCAAATATTGATATGTAAAGTTTATTGCTCTAAGAAAAGAGCCAACACAGGTGCATGCTTGTTGATGGAAGCTACGATCTAATAAAACCTTTTCTGCATTGTATTTTTGTGTCAATATTTTGTCACACTGAACATAGAAACTTACTAGTAATCAGACATTTGGTGTTCTTTATCTACCAGGCTTTGTCAATAACAGTAGTTTTAGGGATCAAATCTCTTGTCAGTACATTATGTGTATCATAAAAGTGTTTAGTAAATTCTATAGTTGTATGATTTAAAAAACAAAAATTGGGCTGATCAATTTTATAATTGTGAATTTTCAATTGATTACTTGTATAAATATGAGCTAAAGTAATTCATTCTATATTTGGTCATGGAAAAGGTAAGAGAAAAAACACAATTCATCAGATATGGCAATAAAAATATTTAAATGTTTTGTAATTTATAAGTTAAACCAAATTGTAAACAAGTCTGAGATTTAGTTCAGTATCACATTATTTGCACTTGTTAATCCTGTACCTTTTATAATGGTATTGAAATAATTTTTACTATCCAAAAGATGTTATACATACATAATTAGATATTTATAACTGTCTTAGGAATATTTTTTTTTTATTAAAAAGTAATTAGAGTAGTAAAAATATTTAGAAAGTATCACTTAAAGTGAAACTTTATTAATATTGTTTACATAGATTAAAAAAAAAATCCTGTGATGCTGAAAGTGCATACACACACGCAATTACATGCCTAAAAATTTCTTTTAAGAATTCATACATTGTGTAAATAACATAATTAGCAACAACTATTTTCCATATTTTTCTCAGTCAAAATTTCATGCTGAAAATAAGGCTAATTTTTCTTTCATTTTTTTTCCTTAAAAAAAAAAAAAAACACAGATTAGAAATGTGTCTTTACTATAATTTACTTCCAACAATGTTTAAATATAATTTAAATAAAAAAAAAAAAAATGTACATTTTATCAACTTTAAGAAAATATTTAACAGATACCAATAAACTTTAAGCTAAAAAAGAAAAATAATTATCTATATTAAAGGTCAATTGGCGGTGAAAAATGATCACCCTTCTTCCAGCATTTTTTTTTTCTTGTAAATCTGATTAAATTTTCAAAAACTCAAATTTAAAAATGCAGATCAATTAAAACCAATTTGTAGAAACTGATTTAACATCTTTCATTCAACTCACAGAAGTCAAGTCTTGGGATAATAGTGTATGCATGTATTGTTTTGTTTATTTTTTCCCTCTCTTTATCCCAAAATATTTGTTGGAATTATTCAGTAGAAAATATCTTGTAATACTGATTGTTGTGTTACAGTGTATTGGAATGACCTGTAATTCTGTTTACTACTTGGTGTCTAGCAACATTGTGGAAGGATTCTCCAAATAACTTTTCCAGAGATTTGAAAACCGTGCCATTGTAGCACCATCTATAACGCGGTGATCTGCAGACCAACTCACTTGCATGATATGTGCTTTTATCAAATCTCCATTATAGTTGAATCGAGGAAGCACCTGAAAGAGAATTTAACAAAACATTCAAGTAGTTTTGTAATCTGAAATATTTTAAAATTTTCTATCAATTTAATTTATTGCATACAACCCGAGAATTAACATGATCCCATATCACTATTAATAATGAAATAAGCAGAGGCTAATGCATAGTTGTTCTGTCAGCTGTGTAAGAAATTACTAATAACTTTGAAGTGGAGAAAAATATATCAAGATGCCTGCCATAAAGTGGTGGTTAACAAGCTTGTCTTGTAAACCATTCAATTCCATGGTAGGTTCAATCCTCACTCTTATGGTTTACAAGTCAAATATTTCCCTATTTAACTAGAGATTCCCCACCACCATCAATGTAATTTAATTGCTCCTAGACTTTTCCACTTGTGGGGAGGCAGTTTTTCAGTAAATGAACCTGTTTGGAAGCAGTGTGATTTAGGTTTACATCACGGCTGTCTTGCTTTTTTTTTTCCCACTTTATATTTAATTTCTGCATTTAAATTTGTAGTTACTACAATGTGCATGAAATAGTATGAGATTAAAATTCTCTCTTCTCAAAAAGAGCAATTTGCTATGGTTGTATTATATACTTCTAAGCTTTTAAATGAGAAGTGAGCATTTATTATTATTGCTGAAGAAAATAAAAATATCCTAGATAACTTACCGATATTTTCCCTAGGGCTCCAATTGCAACTTCAGGTGGCATAATCAATGGACGAGCATATGTTCCACCAATCTGAAAAATATTTTTTTCAGAATTGAAATACACAACAGTTCTAGATACGAGTAAAATTAGCTGTAACTGATAAAAAGCCACAAAATATAGTTACATGAAAAACTGTCTTATAATTTGAGTTAAAAAAAATATACAGAATACATTACATAAGATAAGAGCTGGAGCAAAATAATTGTAACATTGTTTTCTGCAGCAAACAAATAGGAACTTTCCTTGTTTTTAATATTGGCGTCCTTAGAACATTCAGTCTATTTATAGATTTATTCTTCATTACCCCCAATTCCATTATTAATGATAAGGCATGAAATCTGTTTCAGTTTTCTGATTTCAGTTAGTTCAGGTATCTTTATGTTGTATCCTTAAAGAGGTTACAAGCAGACAAAAGTGGTATTCGAGTGAAGGAACAGCAACATTCACATAAATGAAAGAAAAGATGTTTATTGTAAAAGAGAATACACTACTGAAAGACAGGGAATCAATCAGATGGCAGGCTAGTAATTCCCGAAGAAAGCCCCCAGGTATATCCTGTGCTCACTATATGTAGCTACTGCTATAGTCAGTCCACATAAGTGATAAGGAATGTGGGACACTCCATTACAACACTTTAATATGTTAATGATTAAAATATTGAACAAATTATTATTGCAAACTAACAGGATTACAAATTATGGGTAAAGAGAAAGGTAAATGTATTCATTTGTATTTTTTTAATTTAAAGAAATACATTAATGTTCCCCTGATTTCAATAGCTTCAGATGCCTAGTGTAAATATATTACCATATTTGATAGGATAGAAGACCTACCAAAAGATTGTGGAACAGACACCTGCATGTATGCTTCCTTGAACACAACTATCTTAATTTCAAGTCCAAGGTCAATCATTATCTATACTCCTACACTTCCTATTACAAAAATACAATTTAATCAAAGAATATTAAGAAAAAAATGTTAGTGCATTTATGGGTAAGCATTTAATATTAGTGAAATATACAAGTAAAATATAACTGGATGAAACATGCAATTAGGACAGCAGAAATACTGCTGTAATTTACAAGAGAAAACAAAAGAGATGAATATACTGGCAAATCAGAAAAAAAAAACAGTCCTTTAGAATGCAATAATAATAGATAGTGATGATGATAATGATGCCAGTGAGTATTAGTGTTACTTGCCATTATCACTCAATTTCAAGTTTTTCAAAAGCTAAAAGACATCCTATATTTGATTATTTTTACTTGAAAATAAATATGACATACCTAAACAATATGTATATGAGCTCAAAAGGTTTACTACATAACTTTAGAGTTGGGTGTGTTGTCTCAAAACATCCAGCTTCAATCTTTAAGCTAATTCCTTTTTTTAATTAGTGTCTTTAATAATAAAGGTAACAATGATATTTAAGGAAATAATATTACAGTATTAGAGAGTTAGGTTAGGTACAATTACTGGTAGCCTACAAGATTTCCAAACTTTACATAAAAATCACTAGGTATACATTTTGACGGGACGTATTTTATACCATCAAATACAGAATATTAGATTGTTATAAACAACAAAAAAAAAATGAAACAACCATAATGAAAGACTTGCACAATTTTAAAATAATATTAACATTGAACCATTTCAAACCAAAGCATTTGGATCTGAAGCTAAAGGAACAAAAAAAAAAAAAAATACTCACACTTCCGATGTTAGAAAGACTGAAGGTTCCACCTTTGAGATCAGTTGTACCAAGTTTACCATCAGCGCCCAAATTTTGTAGTCGGTTCAAATCTACTGAAATCTCATAAACTGACAAGTTTTGAACGTTTTTCACATTTGGAACGATCAACCCATTAGGAGTGTCCATTGCAACCCCAATATTGTGAGCAGCCTGTTAAATCAAATACATTAAATGTTTAGGTGTTTTAAGTGTGGACAACAAAAGTTTTAGAGACATTTACCTCCATTCATTAGCGATTTAACTTAAAAATTAATTTTAAAAACAAGTTATTAAACTAAGCAGTATATATTTAATTCTAATGTGTATTGATCACTTATGGCTGAATGTAATGTTAAATTTTTTTTATTTATACAATTATATTCAGAAACATTGATAACAATTATGATTTTCAGTTGATAAAATATAAAAATGCGTGTCAGCAACAAAATCGCTGAATGAATTGATCATAGGATTGTGACAGGTATACTGAAGACGTTAAATTAATGTCTGATAGACTTTTTATAACTTGTCTGACAAAGTTACTTCCCTTGCTGCTTGAACACTCATTCATCTGGTGATTGTACCAAGGCGAATCCAAAATTATAGGTATTGCCTTGTATTGTCTGCATTATGAAAACAAATGTGAGAAAAGGCTAAGAAAGGTATCTTATGTTTTATGAATATTTTGTTCAGAAGTAGACTAGTTTTCATATATCATTTTTTTTATACTAAGCAACATTTACAGACTGATAATTTTGCTTTTCTAAATTGATTTTTACAAAAGTTTCCTATTATACAAATAATGATAATGATGGGAAATTAAGAGAGAAACTTGAATAGTTAAATGCTTTAATCATTGACTTATCATCATAAAATTTTTTTCACTTACCTTATAAATAAGGTTCTCACATTTTTCATCAACTGAGGCATTCAATACAGGATAATGATGAAGTGCCATCGAAGCAGCCTGAAAAGAAAAAAGTAAAACAATTGGATTATTTTATAATTTCTCTTATTTTTATTTTTTAAAACCTGTAAATATATCAGGTAACAAAAGTTTATTAAGTAAAAAATAATTTTTGACCAACTCACTATATTTAAAAAGGATACCAAAGATTAAAGGTTTTGGTTTCAAAAACCTGTTTGCAAAAAAAACTATTAAAACAATAAAATCATATATATAAGTAATTAGTCAGCCAGTTAGTAATGTCAAAAAATAAGCATATACTTTCCAAACAAAAATAAAGTTTTCAACATTATCTCTTGTCAATGCACTTAATTCAGATGTGAACTTTCATCTAATAACTGGATTTATTGAACCACATATTTATGCAAGTAATACTATGAATATTTACTGTATTAGAAAATAACACAAATACTTATTTTTTAATAAGTACATAAAATTCTTACAGAAGGAATTATGAAAATAGTTTTGACCTTGAATATACCCATAGGCTATCCTTAGGAAAACAAGCAAACATATCACAGATTTCTTAAAACAAGATATGTTGATAAAAATATACAGAACTTTAACTTTATTATAACTATGTTAGCACCATTCAAAAGAAAGAAAATTCTGATATAGAAATGATTTGTGTCCAACTGGAGAATCCTATCTTTGAAAAGTTTGCCGTTGTAAAAACACAATTTATAAAATTAGAAAATATTTTAAGGATTGTTAATAACTCATAATCCTAGTATAATAAACTTTATTTCAAATATCAAACTTTATAGACAAAGAAAGTATACAAAAATAAATAAAATATACAAACTCAAGTAATGTTAATATATACTGAAGACCTTGCTTGTTTTTTCACTGACTGAACAAATCACCTTGTGTACATTCAACAAAGGAATGGAAAGTGAAAATACGAAACCTGTTTCTAATATATTTGGTTATTTATTTACAGGTTCACCTGGCGCAGTCTGGGTGGTAGGTAAGTGACACTTGGGACATCATCACTGCTACTTCTGTTTTCTCTCATGACAGACTAACAGACTAGATCTTCCATTTAGCCAGCAAGATCTCAGACACTATATTTCATTTGCTCTAACCATCTTTCTCGTGTCACACTACCAAATCTCACTTTTCATCTCTCTGCCCACCTATACATGAGGACATGTGACTTGTCAATGGGCATCTCATAACTGATTTACTAATATGCAGCTTTTCTATATTGTCCAGCCAAGTGCCATGTGATAGCAAAAGTTTTAATTTATTTGTTTCACTTTTCTTCTCCCTACTTGTGGACTTTAAGTGACTACTTTGAAGTCCCGATATTTAAATGTCAGGGTCATAAAACCAGGCTCAGATAAAATCATTTAGAGCCCATTTCATGTGTGTCTTAAATGGGCCCCATTGTGTCATGGGGCAATAAATAATCTAAAACATTAGCAGAACTGGTTTCCCTTTTCCTTCCAACATTTATATATATATATATATATATATATATATATATATATATATATAGAGAGAGAGAGAGAGAGTATTTGTTGAGTTTTAATATTTTACCTATATCCATTTGTATGTTTTTGTTGTATAGTAGGTTGAACCACATGATGTTCCTTTTTCTTTTTTTTTGTACTATTTAGTGTGAATATTAGTTCTGAAAAGAAAATGTTATTTTCAGTCCTATTTCATTATTTTTGGCCTTGTAGAAATTTTAATTTGTTTGATGAGTCATCAGATAATCTGCAGCTGATGAATTGAGGAAATTGCTTGATTATGGTAAGTTGATTTGGAAGAAATGTGCATGTAAATTCAATTGTAATTTGGTTTTCTGGATGGAAAATAAATGACACCCGATTTTACATGCATCTACCATAGAGGAAAGTACCTTATACTCAAATCTGAAGATCCAACTGAAATGTATAAATACTTTTATATTCCGAAACCCCTGCTCACTGCAAATCATTCAAATCCATTTGCAATCCATTTCATGTTTCTAGTCCCTTAGACAGAATTTCAGCATGTGGATGCAGCATATTATTTGGATGGATTTTTATTTAATGTGTATATAAAATGCTAGCAAATATGGTATGCTCATCTGATAATTTTAAAAATTAAATAAAAGTTCATGCTAAAATTGAAGAACATATTTTTAGATTTACTTGATAACATCAGACTTAAAGCAGGAAAAATTAGTGACAAAAATGTTCAGCTTATGTCCTCTTATTATCAGTTTAAACTGACATTGTCTTTTTTCCATATATTGTGACCATTTTCATATTTTCTTCATTTCAGATAAAAACTTGAAAATTTTCCAATATATTTTAGTGAAATTTTCACTATCTAAAATTATACTTCAGACAAAAATGAAGGTGTCAGATTAAACTCATGCCAAAAAGATAAGGACTGACAAAAAACAAAAAAAAAAACAACTCTTTCCAAATAATAAGCTATGCATACAATTATACATTACACTTACCTTAATAATAAATGGCATGTAAGAGAGCTTAATTCCTCTTTCTTTACAAGCAGATTTCAGGTCGTATCGTAACTGGACTAGCTTTGTCATATCTATTTCATCATAATATCCAAAATGAGGAATTGTGTGTGCCTTGTTCATGCTTTGTACCATGGCTTTTTTAATTCCTCGAATTGGTTCAGTTGTATCTTTCCCAATTGCAACAACTGGCTGAAAAGGACGTGGAGGTGACTTTTGGACCGGCTTACTTGCAGAAGGTGATGGAGACGGAGGAGGAGGAGGGGCTGTTTTTACCATGGGTTCTTAAAAAAAAGGAAACAAAAGTTTTGATTAAATGACATTTTTAAATGGGATTACCACTTTTTTCTGGGTCAAAATATTTCTCTGGCATCATTAAACCAACTTATCTTTGTTAATGCTGTCTTAGTGACTTCTAACATAATAGAAAAACACATAGGACCACATTTACATAAATGTTGATACTTCCATATAGGTTATCATCTGTAATGAAGCGAATTTTTTTAATTATTAATTAAAATATTTTGTTAAGTTCATATTAAAATTGATAAGAGCAAAAATCTAGGAATCATGTTATGAGAAATTTTTCCAAAAATATTTGAACTGAACTTTGACTTTGAAATTATTCTTGCTCAAATGAAAATTTTTTTCTTAAAAAAATAATGGAACTGCTTCCATCTTTGGATTAATGTGTAAAATAAAAGAAGATATGAGCAAAATAGATGAAAAGATTGAAAAGAGAATTGTATAAAAACCCAGATTTCATTTTTACATTTTAAAAAACTTGAAAGTATTTCTTTTGTATATCATTTATATTATTATGTCTGTGTTGACCCTATTAGACAGCCAGTAAACACTGACAACTGCTTTCTTATTTTCAATGTGCAACACAGTGCTAAAAATTATATAAAATATTGCAGAATTCAGTATTTAAACCTTTTCTCCCTTCTACAGTCAAAAATATTTAGTAATGTAAAAAATTAAGAAAACTAAGCAAAAACTATCAATAAATTTATTTTGTCTCTTATAATCATGAATAAATGAATAATGACATGGTGATGATTAACAAAGTTTATCCTTTTATTATTTTTTATGGATAAGGAAATCAAAAGGATACAACATTGCTTTCCTCTTCAAAGACAGCTTATTGTGTAGGGAAATTATTTCAATTGTATTCACAATGACTATCACCACCAGTACTATTTAATAGTATAATATTTATTTACAGCTGTCCTCCCTCCTCCTCCTCCTTATCTAAAGTTTCATTTACTCATGGTTAATCCCAGAAATAATTCATAAGTGTCAACAATACCAAAGCACAAATCTTAATTAATGGCCCCAAAGCAAGAATAGAGATCCTAGTAATTCAGAAATATTGTGTTTTTTTTTTTAAGTGACAAAAATATTCAGCTTAGTTATACAATCCCAAAAGAAGAAGGGTCTATTTATAGTGAAGAGGAAGGTTGCACAATACAATTTTAACCCATTAATGCCAACTATGTCATTTTTGGATGTTAAAGGTTGAAAACCTTCAATTAATACCAGATTTTTATGATTTTATGGTGTATATTAATAGGTTATTATAATAATTTTATGGTATATATTAATAGGTTAATATTAACCCTACTCATTTTTTTAAAAAAATTTATTTAGTAGAAAGTTCATACTGTATCCTTAAGTTAAATTTAATATTTTATTATGATGTATTTATGATAATGGAAAATAAAAAATAAATTTGACCATTTCAATCAATCTTAAAAGAAGAATAATAATACAAATTATAAATATCTCAAGAATAATAATTACATTTAAGAACATAGTTGTAAGTAAATCAATATTTGACATTTAATTTCTTCATGTATGAGAGGGAGATTATCATACAAGTTGCCATCCCAGCTAGAATAAGTATATAAATGTTCATATTTGTTATACTACTTTAATTAAAATCTCTTTCTAGTTCACATATACATTTCATTAGATATGTCATCCGGATATGAGTGCTAAGAAAGCAAAACTCAAAATAAAACAGTCATCTTCTGCACAGGAGGTCCAAGCATCATATCTGGTCCACAAAACAAATCCACATAAAAATCTAAAATACAATCGTCAATCATAAATGTTTAGGCAGTTCAGCTCAACAACTTGAGCTCGTCACTTGGCTACCAGGCCATCCATACACCTCACTGGTGTAGATTTCAACTCTGAAGATAGACAGATCAGCCTGGCTAATGACGCTTCACTAATCCACAACCTTGGTCAACCAATTCAACAAATCTGTCAGCCCCTGGTCTTACCAACAACACCTTTATACCAAATCACTTCCCTTACCAATGGCAACTAAAGAACCACATATCAACAATTTTATCCCCTTTTCACACAACTATTCTAAAAATTGATCAATACACTGCTGAAATTTTAATCCTTGTTTGTTCTTTCCTTTGCAGCTATATGCTCATTATAACATATTTAAAGTGAAATAAATTTCTAACCTATCTTTTCTCATGAACATTTAACTAGATAAATATTTTAAGATATTAATTATTTAAGTCTACATTCATGATTACACAAGTGTTACACAAAGATTTCATATAAGAAAACCTTCAGCACATCTCTCAAAAATAAAAATGGAGGTAGAGTCAACTCAATTGTTTGACAACCTAAATCATTATTCTCTACACTAGATCTTTAGATAACTATACTTTAAAGAATCTTTTTTTTTTTAACAATTCCTATAACTTAATTCTAAGTAGTGTCTCATCAAAATACTTTATAAAAATAAACTGCAAGAGGAAACCTTATGAAATAATAGTTGATGTTAGCTTTATGATATAAGGCTGTACTTATAAAACATTGTATTGAAATAATTCTTTATCAATACTTTGATTGTAGGTTTGAGTAGAACTTACCTTTTGGTCCTCTTTTGAGATTCTCAATATGGTGTAAAATATCTTCTTTTAATATTCTTCCATCTTTGCCAGTTCCTTGAACATCACCAAGTTGAATCTAAAAAAAAAAAAAAAAAGAAATCACATGAAATAATTTTAATACTACTAACATTAAAACTTATTTATCAATTAAAATTACAATATTTATAAAATCATAAAACAATGTATTGAAATAATAACTATAGATTCTCATACACAATGTCTACAAAAGAATGTGGATTACAGGGTCAATAAAAATAATACCTATATGATTTATGCAATACTAAATGTAAAGATCACATATATTTAATCATCCTATTATAATTGAGCTTGTCACTCCCTTTGTTAGTTCACACAACTGTTACACCCTGCCAATACCTCATAAATAATAGAATATTGTTTTGATCTTGTTGAAAGAAGAGAAAAGATATTATTTGGTTTCAGTGAGAAAATGAGAGAGAATCAGATTAAGCTGATAAGAAACCTAAAAGGCCAAGAAGTGATTGTATTTTCTTGCCACCCCAAGCTGGCAAGATGTGACACAAGCTCAGTTTAGTGTAGAGAGCCTGAACCTGTAACTGTCAGTTGTGCTTGCATTGATATTACTACTGATCTTCCCTCTTTAGTGAAATGAAGGAGGTACTACCGCGGTATTGGTTATCTTAATTCATCAAGTGAAAGCATATAGATATTAAACCCATCAATCAGTTAAAAAGCCAGGAGAGTCATTCCTAGTGTAGCATCAAGGTATTTATTTGTTATAATAATAAATAAATAAAAATAATACAGCTGCCAAGGAACAATAGTTACATTATTCAGGACTAATCAAGGCTTTGGTTCACAATTTGTATATCACCTGAAAAAAGCCAGAGTGTACAACAGCCAAAATGTTGTAAATATGACAATAAAGATGAGGACAATAGTCTGAACAATGTAAATAATGTTAACAAAAGGGAGTTTTATTCTTTGGTTGGTATATCACAGAATACTAATACTTTTGAGAAAAAAGATTAAAGATATACAATATAGGTATAATTGCCAAAGCAGCAAAATTACTGGGAAATGAACGGGAGGAAACAGTGGTAAAAACAAACATTCAGGAGGAGTTTTGTAAAAAGCATTAAAGAAAAATTTAGAGATTAAACAAAGTGGAGAATATGCTTTTAAAGCAAAAGACAAACAAAAAGTTTGGCTGAAATTTATGTAGTAGATATGAACCTTTATTTCCTGCCAGTTTGAGTTGTTTGTAGCTATCAAGGTAAGAAAATCATAAGAAATGGAAGCATTTCTTTTATTCAACAAATACAAAACAAAAAAGTCAAATTATCTCACTCTATATCTAATACTTTTATGTTTATTTACATACACACTACATGTGTACACACCCACCCACTGCTGCTCAACTTTCAACAAAAACCTTCACAAAGCTAGACTAACCTGGGGCAAATATAAAAATGTTGTCATGGATCATTCAAAATGGAGAAAACCCATTATACATTGTTGCAAATTTACAACCTAAAGTAAATATACTAACCAACCTGAACTATACAGATTAAAGATTGGATACATTTTATAATGAGGTTACAGTCTAAGGAAATCATTTTAACTAATGTTCATTAATGCATTTTATGACTACAGACCACAACTGTGAGAAGCATCATAACTACCAATTGTATATTTAATGATGATGCTTTTAATAAATTGACAGAACAAAATATAAATAAAATAAGCACATAACAAGAAACAATTATTTTGACATACTTATTTCAGGTAACTTTGATCCTAGATGAAATTTAGGAAATTTTTAGTTGTCCTGTACTTGAAAGAATTAAAGGAAGGTTAGCATCACTGAGGATGATCTTAAAGAGATTAAGAAAAAAACAGCCTGTAATTTTAGACTCATAATTATATAAACCTGATAAAAAGGAGAAATGGATTTATAATCTTTTTATAACTGTTACTTTTGTAACAGTTCTAAAAAATTACTTTTGCCTTTCAATCATGCTATATAAAAAGGGAAGAAAAAGATGACCCAAATTTTCAAAACGCAAATCAAATATACTTTTCTACTGAACTGATTTACTTAATATGAAAAAATAGGTTTTCATTCTAATATAAATTAAAATTCACAAAAAAAAAATCCCTACTCCTCACTCTTCAGAGTGCCAAGGGTTTAGAGTTGTTTTTCTTTTATTGTTATTATTATTCCAAATACTTTCCCAGCTTTTGTGATTGGTGTGACTTGTTTCCAACACTAAATAAACAAAGGATTTCTAGTGGCCAAAAAATTTTGGAAAGAATACTTTGCATCTTGGGAATTTTAATTATTCTAAAATGCCAGTATCATAAACAAGCAGTTAGTTTATAAAGATCTTATAAGAATCCTTGGTAATTCTTCATCTGTAGACCAATTGTATAATTGTGATCCCCACTTTCAAAGAAATATGAAAGATTGGTTAATATGAAAGGAAGTTTAATTATCCAGGATATACAAAGGAAACAGTTTCCTCCTGTATCCTATGCAGGATTAGGGTTAGCCTCCAAACCTCTGCAATAACATATTAAATAACCTACAGATAACAAAAAAGTACTAAATCTTTAATAATTTTTATCATAGTGTTGCAAAAGTTATTTATAGACTAAATTTTATTAAAATCAAGTCAGTCATTATAAATGTGACTCAAAGAAATCACATCAGTTTTATAGATTTTCTTCAATGTTATAAAAACAGATGCTTCATTTTATTTCTATTTGATATCACTCAACTATATATATATATATATATATATATATATATATATATATAAAAAGCAGCTTGAATAATCCATTACAACTATCTCTGCAGCAAAAAGCAAAATTGTATAAAAACAAAATATCTAAGCAAAATTACCTTATTCTCCATGGCAATTCTTCTTACAGCAGGAGTTGCCAGAGATTTAAGCACATAAAGCTTATGCCTTATTTGTTCAGCATTTGAACCGTCTTCTTCATCAAGAGTATCCACAGGTTCTTTAGTTTCTGCACTTCCTTCCAATTCAATATCAACCAAGGCTGACCCAACTGTGGCCACTTGATCTATATCATAATAAACACGTCGAACAATACCATCATATCGGCTGGTGATTGTCACAGATGCTTTATCACTCTGGACCTCACAGATGCTGTCAAACTGGGCAACAGTATCTCCAACATTGATAAACCTACAACAAAATTTACTTTCAAGCATTAAAGTTTGTCTTGTCAATTTAGCATTTATATATGCTGTGTTGTAAAAAATATCACTTATCTCTTTTGACAAGAGATATAAAAAAAATGAAACAATATACAGATTTGCCACTTTTGTTTTTAAGAAAAACCTCCATTACTACTCATTTTCTGCAAAAAGCCTCCACTACTACTTTTTTTTGCTAACTCAAAAGAAACCTGAAGAAGTTTTCACTTTTACAAAAAAAAGATGAAAAGCAAAAATTGCATTCAGCACTTGTTTTGCCGCAAGCAATTATAAAAGCAGCATGTACCCTAAGCAGCAAGAGTGACACCAATAAGCTCCTTGCCAAGGAACTACACAGTATCAAACAATCATAGATAAGCAGTTAAGTACACTTTCATAAACCATTTACAGTGGTCAAATCAGATTAAAATTTCAGGCATCAAAATCAAGGGAGACAAGTAGACAGCTTATTTTTGAGGTCTGAGAATGTTTAAAAGAATTTTCCTATATAAATTAATGGTAATTGCTTTTAAATTTTATGCTATTACAGCTTATGAAAAGTTTCAAAGGAACAACTGACTTTTGAATGGTGGGTAAAAACAGTATTTAAAATTCACACAATTTCTTCAAAGATACTAGTTGTTACTTAAGGTTTTTCCTATTTTCATAAAGGTTTCCATATGTTATTTCAATAAAAGAAAATTATTAAAAATTACCTACATGTAATTGTCATTATGAAAAACATTGAAAAAGAAAGTTAAAGATGAAAAACATTAACTTTTGTAAATGTTCACTTGGCAGTACAACACTCTTCTAAGCGTTTAAAATAGCCTTAAGCTAAAAACAATATATTGATTTTATTGTCAGTATGAAAAGCATTAAAAAGTTAAATCTATGCATCATCAGGTGTTGACAGGGCACTATTCTAAGCAATTTAAACAGCCTTAATCAACATCAATGTATTATCTAAACACAAGTGTCCAGTTGAACTAGAAAAAATCATCTATAATTATGAGAATACAATCAAAGAACAAACCAAGAATAATTTATAGAACAGATTAACTTAATTGAAAAAGACAGAAATGAACATAAAATAGGGATATACCTTATATGCCACCAAAAACAGAAGGTATAACCAAGTATTGAGAAAGAAGGGTTAACAAAATCATCTAATACATACCATTCTTTTATGCTGACTTCCTTAATACCTTCCCCAATGTCAGCCAGCTTAAACTGCACAATTTCACCCAGTTTAGCTGCATATTATAGAAAGAAAAAAAAGTTAAGTGTTCTGCTATAATTATCTATTAACTTGCAGATAGGACTTTAAAAAAAATGTATTTTTGTTTATATCACTACAATACATTTTAATAACACTACCACCTATTTGTGTGTATTCAGACCTGTTTTATTGAAATCAACCAATAATTTTTTATCATTTTGCCAAACCTATATGTTCAGTATAATATTTATATTAGCAAAAGCTAAAGAAACTTTTGAGAAAAACTGTTTTATATTTATGAACTTACAATAATGGACTGAAAAGTTCATAGGCTGACTATGAAGGAGTGATGCTTGAGCTGTGAAATCTTGCATGCACAAGGATGAGTTTAGTCTAAGATAGAGGCAGGCAAAAATTATAAATCTTTTAAAAATTGATAAAAATAACTGAAAAGCTTTTAAATCAAATATTTTTATTGACAAATAACAAAGATTATGATGACTAGAATTATTAGCAATGACACATTGCAGTAGAACATTTTCAAAAAAGAAATCAAACATTAAATATGTTGTGGAAAGATTGCTGTATTACTGTATAAAAATCCAGCATAAAATCAAAATAACTATTGATAAAAAAAAAAAAAAATGTACAGTAAATGTCAAAACAATCCTTTACTTTTCGACATGAATATTAATTAATAATTTCTTATAGATAAAAATATTTTCATGACTAATTATTGTTGCCAAACATTCAGAACTTCATCTACTCAGGCAATTTGTCAAAATCGAAAAACATTAATTTATTATTATTTTACATGATTTACTGATTTTTTGACATACATGTAGTTTTCTTTTCTTTTTGAGGGGACCAGTCTATTTAAGGATTGTTGTTTTAAAATTAAATGTATTATTACTATTTAATGTGTGTGTATACATATGTTCATTTCATTTCTGGTAGACATAAATGTTGCAAGAAACTTTTAACATTTGTTGAAATTCTTTTCATCTACATCTTTTCTTTGAAAATATATCTGCATGGGGCTCTAGTCAAATTTTTTCTCAGAAAATCTTCAGGACCACCTTATTAAGAAAAGCGTAACATTTTTTTTTGTTCTTAATTTAAAAAAAAAAAAAATAAAAAGGAAAAAATTTTTTTTTTTTTGAAAGTTGAAGGTAAAAATTGCTGTGGACGTGGCTTGTTTTTTTAAGGGCACCTTGGCATTTTGCTGTGGTGCCACAGTCTAAACTCATCCCTGCATGCATTAATTTTAACTCCTTATTAATAATGGCATTGTTTCTTTTCAAGTAAACTGACATCTGACTATTCAAAGAAGACTTCAAAAGTAACAAGTAGCAACTTCTCATGAAAATGAACAAAATTTGGCATCATGGTGTTATCAAGAACCTGCAGAAAAAAGGTTTAGCCCCCAAAGACATTCATGCTAACATGGTTGCTACATTAGGGGATAATGTTCCACTTTTTTCCTACAGTGCAAAAGTGTGCAGCTGAATTTAGGAGGGGAAGGCAGAGTCTGTTCTGCACAATGATGATTTCAGTTCAATGGGTGCCATGTCTTCTGATACCTGATCAAGTGTACCAGGCTGATCACATCATGGGAAAATCTAACATTGCTTGAGGCAGATCCAACTGGTTTCCTTGAACATTTCCTAACCCAGGATGAGTATTGTGTTCATCACTATGAGCCAAAGACAATCCATACAGTTGACCCCCGCCTTACTTGCTCCAAAGAATGCCATGGTCATTTCATCTGCAGGGAAAGTGATAACCTCAATTTTTGAGGATACAAAAGGCATTGTGCTTATTGACTATCTTCAAAAGGCCACACCATCAATGGAGAGTACTATGCCAATTTGCTGGCGCAGTTATGAAAGGCTGTCAAGACTAAAGGCTCAGGAAAACTGACAAAATGGGTCTTGTTTCATCAGGACAATGCTCCAGCACACAGATTTTAGTTTTAATGGTTACTATTGTGTATGACTGTGGCTTTGAACTGGTTGATCACCAACCCTATTCTCCTGATTTGGCCCCATCTAATTATCATTTGTTCCCTAACATGAAAAAACACTTGGATGGGAACCAGTATCGCAGTGATGATTATGATGATGCCATATCTGCTGTTTGTTGATGACTTTTTTGACCAACAGGATTAAAGCTTCTTTACCAATGGGATCCAAGCACTGCAACACTAATTAAGAAGTCTGTAGACTTCTTGGTTTTGAAAAATAGCCACAAAATTGGTCCCATTCCATAATGAGAGTCTCTTGGTCAGCCTATGAACTTTTCAGCCAACCCTTGTAATAATTAAATCAGTTTCTTTGATGTTTCAATAGACTAACTTATAACTTTACACTTTTAAAACAAAACAAAAAAAAAAAAAAAAAAATCAAGCATATATTCTTGTCTTCTTATCAAAGTGAATCCCCACAGATATAAAAGATGATGCTTAACCAGGCCAACAAATCTTTCACACACATTTTATAAAGAATTGAGTCACCTAAAATAAATACTTAATAGTTTGCCAAACAAATAAGATTAGTTTTAAACAATTTTAGACAAATAGAAACAACCTTGATATAAACAAAAGTAAAACATCATTAATTTATTAAATTGCAACCAGATGCTTATTAACTATAATCAGTAAGAAAAAGTCATTTGTAGGTGCATATCACCTTTGATTGTTATAAATGCTTAAGATTTATCATTTATTATAAAATATGCTTTTTTTAAATTATACAAAAATGTAAAACCTCTAAGATAATCATTACTGATAAAACTGGACTTTAAGCAAAAAGGAGCAAAAACAATGTTTATGAATTCTTGTATGGGAGATTACACCTGAAAAATAAAATATTAAATTCTTATATTGGTCAGACAATCAATCAAACTTATCATGTAGGTTAACTATGGAAACTTAATAAAATTTGTATATGTATTAATCAATACACCACACAAGACCACAATATGACTTTATATTGGTTAAGTCTGAGCAGATAATATTAAAATACCATATAGCAATAATAGTAAAGAAAGATTCAAAATAATTTAAATAATTATTAGATAAAAGAAATGACCTACATTAAACACAATATCCTCCGACATGGAGGAAGGCATTATATTTTTTTAAATTAATATCTTGGTCAAGACCAATTTGAAGTAAGATGATCATTTAATAGACAAAAGTATCTGAAGGCCTCACATGAAAGGCTTGAACAAATAAGACTGAAATCTAAGAAATATAGGAGTAAAGGAACTGGTTAATTAAATGGTTCATTTTGCTCAGGGAGTAATTTTGTCTAAATGCTGATAAATATTTTATTTGTATAAATTATTAAAAGGACTAAGGGAAGTAATTACTCAAATTTACTAACTAAAGTTGATTTACCTCCCTTCTCACTAAAGTTGAAACAGGAAATATATAAATACACATTGATAATTATTATATGGTTTAATTTTCTGTTTACAATAAAACGCACAAATGAATTATTGCTGTTTTATATATATATATATAAACAAGAGTTTTCAATTTTGGAAATTACATTTTTAAGAGTAAGTTATTTTTTAATTTTGAGTCATTTCTATGATCTCTATAAACATGCAATTGTTTTGTTGAGGGGTTTTATAATTGCTTAGTTATTCAAATTATTGATTAGAACTCAAGAAATTGCTAATAATCTTAGCATTTAGACCACAGCTTGGGAGTAAACAGAAGGAAGCAATATTATCTTTTGTTAGAGTGCATGTGCGCTTATACAGGTCGTTATAGACTTATTACAATTCAACAATTGGTATGTCTGGCAACATGAGTGTTTTTCAGCTTGGTGCCCAACAATTTCAGCCCCATCTCCCGGCAATGCTAGCATTCCCTCATGCACCTAAACACAAACCGAGCACATCCACAAAACAGAGAAATTGCTACATATGTGAGTGAAAGTTCAGATCCAAAAAAAGACTGTTGAGATGAAGGCTAGATGTTTATTTCAAAGGAGTGCGCCAGACTACAGACAAGAATTTGGAGCAAGTACTGGCCGATTCAAGAGATTTAAGAAAAGATTCCAAAATTCATAATGTTTGAGTGACTAAAGAAGCAGCTCATAAGTTTGTTGACAGTCTGGATGAAGTAATTACTGGTGAGGAGTATCTAGCAGAACAGATTTTTAATGTGGATGATTGAAACAGGATTGTTTTGAAATTGGATGCCAGCACACACGCACATACACAAAGAAGCCAAAAGCATGCTTGGATTTAAAGCATTTAAGGATAGGATGACTCTGCTCCTACACAGCCAATCACCAGCAGTTAAGATGTTTTGTATTTGTACATACTTTTGTATGTTTTGCAACTAAAATGTTTTCTGTTTTTTGCACCTGTATTTTGATTTTTTGTATGTGTAGCAAATATTAAATCAACTGTACTGTAGTATGCAGTATTTGAATCTGATAAATGCAAAAATAAAAAAACAATGTATAGAAAGATTATACAAATGGTATCAAACAAAGAAAGTGTAAAAATTATAAAAAATATAATGCCTAAAGAAAGATAAAAACATTGCAAAATTAATTACAAGCTGACTTACAACCAGATCAATTTATGACCATCCAATTGTAACTAGTTGACAATAACTTCTGTGTGTATATAACTAAAAATACATACATACACACTTTTTTTTTACAACTAGAATTAAGATACCTTTAGTAGTTACTAAAGGGGCATCTTAATTCCAGTTGTAAAGAAAATTTGCTCTGTTTAATGAAAATAAACATGGAGCGCTCTTTTGTGAATCAGTTTTAACATTTCAAATTCTATGTTGTGTTAATAGGACTTGTCTGGATTATACCAATGGATTACTACATATATATATATATATATATATATATATATATATATATATATATAATTTAAATGTTAAATTTAACAGGTGTTACAATGTGGTGCAGCTTATCATCAAAGGGAGTAATTGTGCCATACTTTTTTGACAATACTGTGACTGGTCCTATTTACTTGAAGTTAAAGTAA